AGAGCCCTGCCCTAGGGTTGGTGGGGAGGACACTCTGTCATTTTGAATCTGTTGGAATTAAATAGCTGCCTGCTTATTTTTAGCAGGTCCATTTGCCTGGGAATAGACGCACGCTGGCTAGTTGCCAAGTGGTCACACAGAGCTGAAGTCAGGCACGTGCTACAGCCAGAGGCCTCAGCATTCATCTGCTCACTCCAGGTTCCAAAGGATCTCTTCTTTCTCCAGGGAGGTACCTGCAGCTTCTCAGAACAGCCCTCAGAAAAGTAATGGCCCCACTCTCAACCCAGCTGACAAACCTGGTAACTGCAGACTAGAGCCGTCTGCTAAACAAGAAAACAAATCCCTGGCAATGGTACATAGAGTGTTGGTCCCAGTGACTAAGCCAATTTGGCTGCAGTTACTGCAAAAAGAGCCACATGTAACTGATGGGAAAGTCCACCATAAAAACAACAGCTTAGGAGCCAAGGGCCCAACAAGCCCAATTTGGGCTTGGGCCTGGTCAGTGAAGCCACATCCACTTTGCGTTCTGAATGAGCATTTACACTGGAATTTGAACATTTCTTCCGTTATTCCAGTGTTCACACTGACAAAGGCTGTCCCCACGTGTTCTACCAATAGGAAGGAGCCTGCCCAAGACACTCCACCTCCCGAGTGCCCAGCTCATTAAGTTCCTGCTGAGGGACTCTTCCCCTTGAAGGGTGTCTTCCAAGGGCAGAGAATCAGAACCTAAAGCCCAGCACTTCAGCCACTGCATTCAGAGAATGACAGCAGGCTGTGGCCAGGCAGAGGCATACTCCCTCTTCCATGGGAGTTTGGTGGAGGAAAATCACAAACTCGGAGTTCTCTGTAAGATTCCAAGAGGGCCTCTTGGCTTGTATCAGATGCATTTACCTATTTCCTCGTCAAGTCACAGTCATTCACCTTGCTCATACATTCAAACATGTTTAAGTTGCTACAAGCAGCAGATTCTGATCACCAGAAGCGCACGACTCTGAAGGAAGAATCAATCTCTCTCACTCACTCACACACGCACACAGCCCTGTGCCATAAGCAGCCGTGCTGAGAAGTGGGCAAAGGGAGCCCAGGAAGGCTTTCTCAAAGACAGCCAGGATTTCCTTAGGCTGCAATGGGTGCGTGGGGAGGGGGACAGGACACAAATTGAGGTTCTAATATCTTTGGGCATGGGAAGGAACAGCGAGTCCCAGAGTAAAACAGGAACAAATCCTAGGAGCTGAAGTGCTGGTCGGACGAGACAAAAAGAGTTTGACGTTTGCCACAGGAGCCATAGTTGCGGCAGTTGCAATGTGGTAAAGTAGAGTAGGTCACAAGAGGTAAAGGTCTGGGTGACCCTCAAGAGTGACTGCTATCCAATACTGGCAGTCACTTAGTCATGGGAGGTTACTGAGCACTTGAAATGTGACCAGTGTGACTAGGGCACTGAATTCTACTTCAGGTTAATTTAACTTGAACTCTCCACCTGCAGCTGACCCTACCTACTGGACAATGCAGCTCTAGAGCGTGTTCCCGGAAAACCCCAATGAACAGGAGGGCTGCATCAATGCTGCAGCGGCCAACACCTACCTTGCTGGGTAGTGCTCGGTTCTGCCACCAAGGGTGGGGGCGATGGTAGGCCTGGGCTGTGCACCCTCAGCAGCATGGCTGGGCCAGGAATCAGAGTGCTAGAGCCATGGCTCAGGTGTTGGTCCCAGCCCAGCCTCAGTGCTCACAGGACTGTTACCTTCATCCTCAGGGGCCTGTGTAAGTCACAGTAAGCTATGACTTCACGTGGGTACCCTAGAGATCCCAAAGGAGCTCACAGTGGGGCTGTGAGGTCCTGTCCAGGACTGTCCCCCACCCTCCATTGTGACGGCCCACAGAGCAGCCAGGGGAGCCAGTACAGCCAGACCAGCACGCTCTGGGGGGGCTTCTGCCCTTCCATGTAGAGCAGCTGTCAAGAACTCGGGACACTTTCCCAGTCCAGTTCACAGAAGGAAGTCCAGAAAGTCAGAGGCTTAACCCAGTAGTGTCTGAGTACCTGCTTGGCAAAGCCTTCTACGGCCAAAATGGAAACCCTGAATCCACTACCAGGAGTTCTAGGTAAGACAAGCCAAAAGTCAGAAAGACCATCTCTGGACATGGCCTCAAATTAAGAGCTCCTCCAGTCCAACTAAAAGTTAAAGTAACTCCTGCTCTGGAAAACAGTACACAAGGGTGAACTGCCCAGCCTCCTTCCTGCTCTGCTGGCCAAATCCATGGCAGGTCCAAGTCACACGCCTATTTTCGTGAAGGAAAAATCATCAGCACCTCCTACAAAGGTCTTCCCAATCCCTTCATTTGGGGGGTAGGGGTGTGGATTTTAAAACTTTGAAGACTACGTCACACTCACCTGGCCCCTCACCTCTGGCCTTGACAACCATCTTGCTTTACAAGTGAATTCCGACAGGATTCTAAAGATGGTCACAATGCAGGTGCCAGGAATGCCTTCCTGGGTACATGGAGTTCCCGCCCACGACCATAGAAGACATTACAGAGGACTGCCCAAAAGGTATGAAATGGCAACCTGACAACAACCTTACTTAAAAGCCTGTAAAGACATCAGAAAAGATGTTGGCGTGCAGCAAAAAACCCTTCACAGCGCCTCACATGGGCAAAACCAAAGAGGTAAGACCCTGATCTTCCTAATGGCAGACTGTGAACTACGACCGCCCCAGAAATCACATAAAAGCATAGAAGGTAATTTCTATTCAACAAATAATTACTGGCACTCACAGGGAAAAGCATGGTGGGACACAAACTAATTAGGCAAGGCACTGCCCTCAAGGCACTTTCAGTCTGGGCAGGGAGTAGTGGAGACGAGGACGGAAGGAAAAAAAAAAAAGCCCAAACAGGCCACCATGGTAGCTCACGCCTGTAATCCCCAGCACTTTGGCATCACTGCACACCAGCCTGGGGGACAGAATGAGACCTGTCAAAAAAAAAAGGGGGGGACCCATTTTCACCATTACGTGGTACCCAAATCCAGATCCCCACATTTACAACTTCTCTAAAAAGTAAAGCCAGACCTTCTGCTGGCCTGGCCTGGCGGAAGGGCTCCACAGGCCTAGTTGTCTGCTGATTTCAGCCACACAACTGAAGGCCCAATCCATGCCTTCAAACATGCCTGTCCCTGCATGGATCGGCTGGCTTGTTGTGGGCCACAAACCATGCATACCTTCTCAGCAAGCTACTGAACGATGGGCTCCCCCAAGACAAGGAAATCAACCAAGAAAGGAGGGGCACTGGATCCACAAATGAGACAAGAGAAGGGGAAAGGGAATTCCAAGGGTGAAGGGGAAGCAGAGCCAGGGAAGAGGGATGCGCCCAGGAGCAATGTGGAACTGTTGCGAGCACCTGGTGTGTGCAGCCACGGTGAGCGCCACTTTCCGCCAATGACAGGAGTTCCACAGCAACGGTGGAGGCTGGTGGGGCGGGGCATTGAGGGGTTAGGGAACTGGTGAGAGACAGAAAATTAAGCAAAAGAAACTAAGGAAATTAACTAGGAGAGGAGAAGTGGGGGAAAAGAAGAAATATGGGAAACTAAAAACCTTGCAGCCATAAACAAGGTTCATATTATAATAATGTATATTCTGAATAGCAACTTGACCAAAACTTGGGCTATCTCTACACTGGGATGATGAGGGAAGAAAAAAGCATAGGAACAAGCTAAGTCCTAGCTCCCACAGCAGAAAAACAAATCAGATAATAATCCTTAAAAAGAAAGAAAAGAATACTACTGACAAAGGTGGGGACAGCTGGAAGAATTGAAAGCAATGGGGGTGGGGAGCGGTGCGCAAAGGACTGTCCTTTCAAGCCTTGTACACAGTCAAAAGCCAAATCTTTCTACAAGTAATGTTTTGATAGAAAATACATTATTAAGCTACATACAAGTAGCAACGCATGCTCTATTACCACGCAGCTTTGTTTCTTATTAACCATCCTAAATTTGCATTAATGTCAACTCATCTATGCACAAACTTGTAACGCCTTACTTTCCTATTATAATAATTGATGCCAATTGTGTGCTTCAGAGACCCCCAACTGCCCAGCTGACATAATATCAAAAAGAGAGTATGCTTATTGATAGTAAGACCCTTCTGGAAGCAAGGCACTGAAGGCTAGCCAGCATCAGATGGCTGGACCTCTCAGGGCTAGTCATTTAACAGAGTTTAACACGTACTGTGAGCCAAGTTCACTGGGCACACAAGGGAAAGAGAGCCTTCAGGAAGCAAAGGCGGAAGGAAGGGTAGAGAGTCAAATTATAGGTAAGATACTGCAAAGGTTCAGCGACTTAAATATAAAGACCTGCAGCCTCTCTCCACAGATGGAGAGAACTGAGCCCTAAGGCTGCCCTTGCATGTGATGAATTACCTATATCCCTGTGCGTGTAGCAGGGCACCAGCTGGGAGAGTTGAGGAACGGGTCACCCAGTCCTTTTCTGTGTGCTGTGGTTGAAACGAGAAAGGCTGGATGGAGCGCTTGGAAGGGGAAACTGCAGACAGAATGGGGCGGGAATGCCTTTTGGAAGAGGTGGCATCAGAACTGGAACACTTGAGAGCTGTGCCAAGATCTGCAGGGAGGCAGGAGGAGTGGGGGGAGAAAGTTCCAGGCAGGAAGAACATGTGCCCAAGTCCTAAGGCAGGAACAGGCTTGGCTGACTCAAGAGGCAGCAAGAGGGGAGGTGAAGATGAGGTCAGAGCATGGCTCTCAGAGAAAGGGCTCTCCAACATCACTGAGCGGAAGGCCAGTCGGACTCGCAAGAACCCCAAGGGATATGGTCCACCAAACCTTCTCCAGGGGGGAAAATGATGTGCCTGAAGAGCCAAGCAGCTTTAGTTCTTAATTAATAAGCAGAAGCTGCTTCCAGACTTGTTTTCTGAAACAGGATGCCTCTGTGGCTGGTAGCATGACAGGTACACTGTGTAAGTAAACAAGGGCTTGCTTTTACCTTCATGTTGTCAGCGAATACACTTGCCAGGAAGCCCTGCGGCCATACCATACATTAGCCTTAGAAAGCCACCACTAAGGGTAAGGGGTAGTAAGCCCCCCTTACTCTCAGGCTCCCTCAAAGGAACCTGTTCCAATAAGGCAGTCCAGCCCCAGTAGGCAGACACACACAGCCTACGTAAGCCCTTGCCACTTCTTTGAATCGGACTTTGCAAAAAACAACCTTGCTCTCCAGCCAACATAAACCATAGGCAACAGAGGGCCTTATATGGCTTGAAGCTTTCTTAATCAGAAACAGATAGATGGGCTGGAGTGAGCAGCTCCAAGTTAGAGGGAAGGAGGAACACAAAAGGAGAGAAGACAGGGTGGCCTGGGGAACCAGTAAGCTTGCTGGTCAAACTGCTTGTTCACCCCTCTTCAGCTTCTGTGGCATCCCAGTAAAGAATTCTCACTGGGGGTCTATGGCTGTGCCTCCTTTCATGTTTGCATTTTGGTTTAAGCCAGAGGACACAAGGAACCAGACTGTCCACCAATCCAAACTATTAGAGACTTTTTAGTGTCCATTTAGTGGCCGGCCCTTAGATTGGGCAACTTCACACAAAAATGAAGTTATGGGGCCAGGCACAGCGGCTCACACCTGTAATCTCAGCACTTTGGGAGACCAACATGGAATGATCACTTTGAGCCCAGGAGTCTTGAGATCGGTCTGGGCAAGGTGGTGAGACCCCATCTCTACCAAAAAAAAAAAAAAAAAAAAAAATTTTAATCAGCCAGGCATCATGATGTGCACCTATAGTCCCAGCTACTTGGGAGGCTGAGGCAGGAGGATCCCTTGAACCCAGGAATTCAAGGCAGCAGTGAGTTATGATCATGCTCCTGTACTCTAGCCTGGGTGACAAAGCAAGACCTCGTCTCTAAATAAATGAATGAATAAATAAATAAATACATAAATAAAAGTTTGTAATGGGGTTATGTGGTTTCCTGAGAAATTCGCTGCTGGGGCAACAAGGGGTCCTCACTCCCCAGGCAGCAGTCCTGACACCTAGCTCCCCAGCTCCCTGGGCTGCCTCAGTCACATGCCTGCCTGCACCAGGAGGCAGGCTGGGTCCCTGCCACAGATCCAGAATAGAAAAGGCAGCCCTGGAGACCTCTTAAGCAGCCACCCCCTCCACACACCCCTTGGCAGCTTCTAGGGTGGCTTTATTCTCCTCTCTCTCCTGACGAGGCGGTGGCGGCAGAGACAGCAGCAGCTTTGGCACCAGGATCTGTCCCATACACTGCAGCCACATGCACTTGGCCCTCCTAAAAGATGCCACCTGCTAAAAATAGCACCAGCACATGCTTGGCCAGGTGAGCCACACCAAAGCCAAAGGACAAAGCAGGGAGGTTATTTGCAGCACGGCCTTTTCTCCCAGAGACAGCTAAAGGCAAAGCCGAGTATGGGTCTCCCTCCAAGACAGTTCAGGCAAGTGAGATTCACTCCTGCTCCTTTTTCTTGGGAGGGGCAGAAAGGAGGGGCAAGAAGGAGTATACAGAAGACTGAACTGTCCTTCAGCTCTGTTGTCGACCCAGCCTCACAAAGACACACCCAGGCTCAGGCCAGAGAAGGGCTGGGGGCTGGGGCTGTGCTTGAACAGATCTTACTGTCTCCTCTAATCAGGAGGCCAGCTACTGCCAGGTGACAGCTTTTTGGAGGGCCAGGGGATGGTCTCGTGACCTCCAAGTGAGGTCTGACAGGTGTCCGGGAAATTAGTGACTTCAGGATTGTCTTTTACAACCAGCTCAGTCTTCAGAGCAGTTTCCCTGAGCCCTCAGGCACAGCTTTTTTTTATTCATAGTCATTACTTGTGCATTTCAAAAGCACCTGATGGTTGCATAATTCTGATGATAAAATATGGCTTTGGAAAGACAAGAGAGTTAAGAGCAGGATCCTGTACTTCAGTTTCCCATAAAATGAAGATGTCCTGTCATATGGAGTAAGAATATCTCCCTCACAGAGTTGTAACGAGGCTGAAAACACTTAATAGTCAGACTCCATATGTGGGATAAATGATTTTAATCTTTTTAAAACCCAGTTTAGTTTCCTGAATGAGGATGTGGTGATAAAGGGGCAGTAAATAAGCAACAGTCTATGAGCATGGGGGACAGGGGGGCAGAGGAGGAGGTGGGGAGCACATCCCAACCCAGGCCCAAGGCCAGTCCAGCCCTCGCTGTGTCCTGGGACCAGCTTACCCTACTGGATCCTGTTTCTTCACCCACAAGCTAGATCACTGTACTAACCTCAGAGGGCTGAGAGAGAATAAAAATGACATAGTTAGAAAAAAAAAAGCCACTAATATGCCAGTAGGCGCTTGTTAATACTTGTCTTTTATGCTGCCTGGCTCCAAGAAAAGAGATCTCACATTATATATACCGAAGGTCAATCCAGCAGGGTTCAAACAAAGCACACCCAGGACTAGAAGAGGGGGCATCTGGAAACAAAGAACCCCCCACCCCTGCCACAACAGAACACGTTAAGATCCGCACTGTGGCCCCACTCTCCCTCAATGCCTTCTGTGAAGAATGGCCCCTAACATTTAGGTGGACTGGAAAGAGCAGAATGAAAACACAACCTGGTTTAAGGGCCACACTGAGATCTGTAGGAAGTCATCAGGTGGCTGAAGGACCAAGTAACAATATGTTGACATCTGACATTTGGAGACCAAGGACAAACCAGCAAGGATCTTTATGATAATAAACCGGCTCTCAAACCAAAAGGGCTTTCTAAGGGCTTAGCGTCTGGCCCTTTGCTTCATGCTCCTATCCCCAGGTCCTTTCTGAAGGTCCTCACTCCACCTGTTTCATAACTGATTGTCCACTCCCAACTGGCGGACTAGTACTCACCTATAGTATGCCATGAAGACAACCAGTAGATAATTTGTCACCAAAGCTGTTGGGTTTATGGACTCTGGAAGACTAAGCTCAAACATGTTATGCTTTAGAGATTTACAAGTTGAGACAATTAAGCTTTTAGAGTTGGAGGAAAAAAACTTCCTTGGCCAGTACTGTCCAACAAAACTTTCTTCAAATTATGGAAAATGTTCTTGACCTGTACTGACCAGGACGGCAGCCACTAGCTACATGAGGCCACTGAGAATCTGAAATGTGGCTAATGTCACTGAGAAACTTTTTTTTTTAATACTTTGAAAATCTAATTAGTCACACAGCTAGTAGCTACCCTATAGACAAGGCGGCTCTAAGCTCCCCCCAGCCAGGACAAATGTAGGCAAATAGAGCTATCTTTAAAAATAAAAATATTTAGAACAGTAGCACACCTTAGAGCTAAGAACTTGAGATGAACAGTAAGTTGTGTTTTTTTTTCCCCCTTAAGTCTTTGACATGTACTACCCATTGAGCTGTGCTTCCCAGCCCAAACGCATCTCTCCAGTCGCCCCTGGGCATGTTTGGTCTAACTCCAAGGCTCCCAGGACCATAATCCGAATACTGATAATTCTGACCAACCCTCTTTTAGCCACTGAATAAACCAAGACCTGGAAGGCCAACCAGCCTGCCTAGAATCACAGCCAGGTTTCAGCTCTGAGAGCTGTACCAAGTCCCAGGCTCTTGTCAGCTAAGCCCAGCAGTGAAACAAGCCTCATCAGCCCTCAGTTATACATACTTTTACTTCCAGGACTCAGCTCAGGGCCCTTCTTTGCTCCCAAGTGCAACTGGGCCTTAGTGACACATGGCTCAGTGAAGGCAGCCAGCCACCATTACAGAATAGGGAACACAATGTTTACCACTGACTGCTGCAAACTATCAAATCAAGCCGGAAAAAAAACCAACCAGATGGAGAAGACCCGGACAGAATGTGGACAAGGCTGCACCATTTAGTAAAATGAAAACGTTAAGGCAAAGGACACCTTGAAATCTATTTATTGCTGGAAAGCTAGTTCTCAGAATGCTGAATGATAACACACACAATGTCATCAATCTACTTAGAAAGCAGCAGAAAGACTAGGAGAAAAGCCCAGGGATTTAAGAATATTCCTTGGTTCTTCTCACAAAAGCCATCCAGAGGACCTAGTTTTAAGTCCACACCCCTACTTCCTAGTTCCTCTACCCCTCAATTTGAATTTGTGTGACAGCCACTGAAACAATCCAGAATGACCTCCAGTTTCACCCTCACTGTATCAGGTGTGAGGATTAAAGGATTAGGGAGCCATTAGCTCGTAACTCACCTAGCACAGTAACTATCAAGAAAGACGCATCCTCTCAAATTTAGTTCCCAGGTCCCCCACTACCTGTTTCTCCAGCCAGACTCTGTCCTACTTCAAACACGCTCACTGATGAGGATTTCCACAGCCCAAGCTTAAAATTAGGTACCAAGGTCAGCGGGTTCCTTCAGTGGGATGCCACATATGATGGAAACAATGTTAAATGATGATAAAAGTGAAAACTGCCTGAGGTATTACACCAGGAATGAACATGGAAGAAACAGAACTTGCCCTAAGAAGCAAAACTTAGGACTAAAATACACCCCCCACCATAAAGATGAGCAACTCTCAAATAGTATGAGATGATTTCAATGGGACAAGATGCCCACAGGATCCACTACCTCCCCATAGTGGAAGAAAATGCCTGAGAATGACAAGCTGAATGTATTAACTCATACCTGAAACAACTGATTTCCCCACAATAGGAAAACAGACCAAGCTACAGAGAGGCCCAGTCATTCTAGACTCACAGGTAAGATTTAGGAAAGAGGGACCTAGGGGAACTCTACGGTCAGCTCTCTGGGTACATTGGCTACAAGCTGCCTGATCTTCAAAGCCCTGAAACGCACACACAATTAAGTCATGTTGCAGGCTGGGACCAGGAGGCTAGCCAGCAAAGCTTAGGGAAACCAATTTGTTTTTCCTCCCAAACAAGCTTCTGGGTCAGAGGCTAAGGAGAGGGGTGCTTTTAATAGAATTCAAGTCACTCAAGTAATTCAAGAGAAACAAAGTCAGTCTCAGGGCTTGTTTAGGGAAGAGAGGGGAAGAGCAATGCTTAAGCACCTATCACAGTCCCCAGTATCACAAATATGATCTCCATTTGTCTTTAGGACAGGAAAAGGGAATACTGTAGAGGCTAACACCAGCCTTCCCCTAAAATATGGCTGCAACCCAGCCTATGTCCAAAGCTCAAGAATAATTTGGGTTACCAGGTAGCAAGATAAATTGCTTTTAAATATTGATGTTCAGCAACCTTACACTGGAGACATACCGACTTCAGCACCTCAGCAGGCCACTTACAACAGACACCTCCACTGTCACCCTGCAGTGGCCAAGTGAGAATGCATTTCCTAGAAACAGCTGGGAGATGGGAGATATTCCTACAAGGAACCCCACCTAGACGCAAATCCATTAGACCTATCTCATTCACTGGCTATGACCTGCAAGTTCTGAGGCATCATCTAACAACATGCATGAAGACAGAGCCTATTTAATTCAGTAACAGACTCGAGCTTTAGTGATTTGCATACCTGTAGGATGCAGGGGACCTCCTCTAACCTAGGGCCATATTTCAAAGAGAATACACCCAGGAATGATTATGCAGAACCTACAAAACTAGTTAGAGGTTAAAGAAGAAAGGTTCAACACAAGTCAAAAGGCTCCCAAAACAAAACTTCACTTGCTTCCAGTGCTCAGGGTCTTAAATAATCAGCAGGTGAACCACTTGAATGCCAAGAACAGAGGAATCATATAAATGATCAAGTCAGGCAGCCCTCTTCATTTCAAAGATGTTCTGTACCTTTAAGAGCAAAGTGGATGGGTGGTGCTAAGAGTCCAAGCTTTGCTTTCTAAATAAAGAGTTTAAAAAAAAAAAAAAAGGTACTAATTTGGGAAGGACTTAGCAGTTACATGAGCATGTAAGGTTACTAGTTGCCAGAATTAATAACTTTTTGTGAACGGTGTTCCTTGATCAGTAACTAACAGATACTGTTGCACCAGGTCCAGCAGCCTACATTTCACTGGAGACAAATTTAAACACTAAGTAACGCGCACTACAGTACGGGAAAGATACCCAGGTTAACCTCACTAATTGCCCTGCGCATACACCCTAGCCAGCTTGAGAGGCCTCGACAAGCACCTGGAGCGAAGTCCACCGGGTTTGTGTTAACCGCGGCAGGAAGGTGCCGTCACCCAGGACATCCCCCGGGAGAGGAAGATCCCGAAACGCCCAGGGCTCCCATGCCGTTCCGAGTCGCCACAGCAGGGCCCACCACGATCAACACCTTTCTTCTCCTATCCCTCCCTGGAAGGGAAACAAGAAGACCTTCAGCTAGGGCACAAAAGAGTTGAACGCCAGAAAGCCCGCGTTCGAGGCGTCCAGCCACTGTCTCTCCTAGCACATCGTAACCCCGAAACCGGCACGGTCCCTCCAGATCGCGGACCCGGGGCGCTGGGCCGCAGGCGGCTCCGGACACGTGACCCTCGGCGTCCCCGGGCCTGAGGTCGGCAGACACCCCAGGCTGGACGGCCTCCGTCCCTCCGGACACGCCTGCGGGGGCTACGAATGCAAATCCCCCCGAGACGCCCCTGAGCCTCCAACCTCCAGACCCCAACTCGATTCGAACGGTCCCTCAGCCCGAAACACGGTTGGATCACAACCGGCGGATGTCCCGGCCCATATTCCCGGTTCCCCTGGCTCGCCGCACGGAACTCCCAGGGGCGAGCCGTGGGTGAGAAGTTGGGTGAGGCTCCATAAGTGAAGGGGTAGCTCCGGCTCAGACTGTGTACACACGACCTTTGAAAAGTAAACGCCCGCGGGGCTGGGCGACCTTGGGTGGGACGCGCTCGGGTCAGCCTGGCAGGCGGGTGTGCGCGCTCCGGTAAAGTTGAGGCGCAGAG